GTAAGCTGAGACTGCGCCACTGCACTCCAGCCTGGAGACAGAGCAAGACTCCGTCTCAAAAAAACAAAAACAAAAACAAACAAACAAAAAACCCCAAAAAACAAACAAACAAAAGCCATCCAAATGGTTTTCATTATTTTTGTGTCACCTTTCTTCCCAGCATCTTTTATTTACGTAACACGTATTCTATTTATAAATGTGCATGGCTTCGTCCTTGGCTATATTAAGTATATGGCCAGGATGAAGACATAAGAGTTTGGCCTGTTAAATTTATAAATGTCAAAAAGCCAGGAAGGAAAGCTAATCCCTTGGATGAACGAATCATGATTCAAGAAGATCCCAAGTTTTAACTATGGCTACGTTCACGGAGATGAAATTTAATAGGGTGCAATGGTAAAATACTGCTTTAAAAACATCATCAGTGTGTATATACACAATGGGACAGATCTAGCTACGTGTAAAAATGTTGACTTATGTTGACTACGTCAGTGGTTTCCAGACCAATTTTCTAGAAAACAAAGTAAGAATCAACATAAGGCTGCCAACTTTTTATTGGTTAATTAGGAACACTAAAAGAAAACAAAACCCCATGACCAACATCAAAAGAAACTTAACACCTATCATTAACAGGTGTTACTAACACTATCATTTAATAAAGGCCATTTATGAACATTAGAAAAGGAGATAAAATCTCAAAAAATAATCCCTTGAATTACATAACTATAACTTGAGAAGCCATGTAACGTTTCTCTCTCTCTCTGTTTTTTTGCTTTGAATTAGCAGAGATTACTGTTGTTAAAGAGTTGATACAATTTTAGACTTTAAATACAAGTGTGTATGGCTTGAAATAAGAAAAGGGACAATTTCACTGCACTTTGCATTCAGACCCTAACTGCAGAATTAAATATGGAAACAAGCTCAGAACACAAAGAATGGCACTGACAGAACTGATTGAATCCAACTTAGAGATGTGAGGGATGGCAAAGAAAATTACATGAAGTTGGAGGTGTTGTTAACATTTAGACAAGAGAAAATCTAGTTAATACACTGAGAAAAACCTTACTTCATCTTACTTCTAAAGACTGAATTGCAACCAATGGGAAGAAGTTATATAGTAAAAGCAGCTACTAGCTCAATTTAAGTAAGATCTTCCTATTACACTTTTTGGAAGCTAAACAGGCTTTTCTATGTCCAGGGAAGGGTTTGTGGAGAAGTTGGACCTAATAACATCTCAGAGATATTAGTAGTGGGTGGCACATTGTATGAGCTGACTTCTAAAGTTCCCTTGAATTCTAAAATTGTATGAACCAGAGTAAGGAAACAAGTGGTACTCTTTAACTTACTAAGACGAGTAGAAAGAATTTTGGCTTTAGCCAGAAAGACAAAGGTTCAATTATAGGCCCTATCAGTTAGGAATGTGTAACACAGAGGCAAGGTTATTCACTAACTTTATGCTTCAAATTTTTTCAATGTGTAAAACTAATACCTTAATTTAGAAATTTGTTGCATAAATTAAATACACACACATCACAGACACACTTCCTGGCACTTAGGAGATGTTCAATATTTAGTAGGTATTATTTAACTATTCAATAAATATTGTGTTTCAAAGGGTAATATTTTCTATATCATTTATTAATTATGGATATACCTAAAAAATGACTTGTTCTCTGCTATGTGTCATTTGTTTTTCAGACCTCAACAATGCATGCTTGGGATTCTTCTCCACTTCTATACTTTGTCACAATCCCTGTTTGTATGTAAGTAGATTTTATGAGGTTTTCTTTAACTTTGCCTTTGGTGTTTTGTTTCTGCACCTTTATTTGATACAAAAGTGGGCTTTACCGGTAACACACATTGGCTATGTCACTGGCTTTGGCTAAAACATTTCTGCTAAACTGTACAATATATCCAGTTTAATCAACCACACTACCAGACAGATGTTTTTTCTCTCTCACAGTGGCTAACTCACTGCTGAACAATCCTTCATGAAATATTTGAGTAAGTAAATCAAAACCTAGGGTATTTGATTAGAAATTTTGGTTATTAATGAGATAAAGATGGTCTGATATTTCTTCCCATCAAAAGTATCCCATTTCTTAATGAAACAGATCAATATTGAATGCTTCAGTCAATATTATCTACTCACCAAGCATTCTTCAAATGGCATGTAACTGCTCTTTTGTTATACTTCCAGAATAATTTGCAACTGTACAGATATTTTAGTTAGCAATTAAATATCAGGTTGTCTGTCAGATACTTAGTTGAAAAGTACACTGCTTAACATCCCAGTGTTTGGGACAGATAAGAAAGAAAAGTCTTTACATATTAATTAGTATAGAAAAAATATTTTTCAGGAATAGAATTTTGTGGAATAAAAAAATTTTGACAAAAAAACTTAAGCATATACAATATTTAGTACTAGATGAGCATTATCTAATTGCAATCAGATACAATAATAAAACTAGTTCTTTTTTTCAGTAGATAAAAAGGAACAAGAAACTGATACTTAGAACAAATCAAACAAATCACGAAGCACAGAATTTTAAAAAGTACCATAGCAGCATTAATATGCAGAATGTATGCTAAGGTTTACAGTATAAATTTCACTATTCTAATGTTAAAATAGGGAACAGGCAGATTATTTCCATACAAAATAATCTCAGAACACAATGAAATTTACCAGTAAAATACATTTAAAGCATGATTGAATATAATTCCACACACTGAAATTTAGTTACACATTTTTTAAAGTTGAAATTTAAGATAAATAATAAATCCTTTAAAGAAGTCTATTAAAATGCAACATAAAATTAAACGATTAAAATTATAAGGCAAGAAAAGAGCACTTTATGGCAAAATCAACCCAATAAAAAACAAAGTTAATATATCTTAAAATGTAAATTCTAGTTTAAGTTGAAAGTAATCACTAATAACTCGTTAATGATTACAACTCATTAACTGTGGTAAAATAAACATCACAGGCTCTTATGCAGAAATTTTATTTTTAACACAGCCTACAGAGTTGATCATCATATTATTATAAAATACTATTGATTTTCAAGAAATAATACTAAAACCTACCATTAAGTAGTAGGGAAAACACTGCAACACTTCGTTTTTATGAAAAGCACATGTTAGGACATCTTTCCTCATTTAGTAAGTTACTTTATACAACTAAAGGTCCATTTCAGAAGAATTACTACTTTTGCATCGCAGAGGCAAGAACTTGATTAATAACGGTGAGAATCAAGTTCAGTGATAGTCACAGCCTGCTCAAGGAGAGGGTAAAGAAGCTTTCCATACATTTTCACAGGGTAAAAGGGCTAGGGGGACACAGGAAAGATCACTGCAGAATGGACCTTGAGTTTCATTTGGCTCTGCCTTCCATTAACAGTCTGGCTTGGGCAGACAAGTCAGTTAACTTTCTGAGTTTTAGTGTCTTCCTCTGTCAAGTGCACTTGGGCTCTTCCGTGTTACCTACAAAGTTAGGAAGAGCTAAAGGCAGCCCTAGTTTTACTTTTTAAAAAATAATAACAGAAAAATACGTAACTTGCTATTCATCAGTGTACTGTTTCCAGAGCTGAATTCCTAAGTCTCTGAAGCATACCCAGTTAGGGTTATACCAGTGAAGATCCAGATACTATAGTCAAAATGTCACTCTCTCCTCTCCCATTATTCCTCCACCTGCTCCTCCCCATCCTGCTTTATCCTCTCTTCTGGTGTGTTTTAAGAAGCAACGCCAGCAAACGGCTGTATGCATTGTAAACTTGAGGATGAAATCGTTTTAAAAGATGCATTTTCAATCAAATGTATCATCTGCTTCGCCAAATTCCTCCCAAATGGCTAAATTTTCATTAATACAATAAAAATGAGGTAACAACTTCGGAAACAGAAATGAACTGGGCCAGTTGTTTTGTTTGTTCTACTTGCTTAAAAAATAAAACGGAAAGATGTATCTATTCCCTCAGGAACATAAATGCATTACGCGCCCATTGAAAAAACAATTCTGCTGGTTCATTTCCCTGACACAACAGCTTCGTTGTCAGGCCCTCTCCAGCCCAGTCTCCAATGTCACCTAGTAATTTTATATTGATCACCTTGGCAGTGCTTGGACTCCAGCAGGCATAGTCCCTGTCTCCCTTACATTCCTCAAAAATAAATTAAATAAATAAATAAAACTCTACGAAACGCCACCGAACAGAGATTCTGTGACTTAGTAGACAAATCCCACGTCTTCCCGCCCTGTGTTAGGCAGCTGCAAATGTTATTTTTTCATCGCTTGCATAAAATGGAAGCGAAACGTACCAAAACCCTATATTTGAATCCTAGGACAATGAAGCCGACAGGAAGCCACTCTCTCCTCCCCCGGGTTTACTACGGAGCCAGAGCCTCCGCGGGGTGCAGTCGCCTGGCAGGGTGCATGACAGCGCGTCTTCCACGCCCTCCCAACGCATCCAAAAGGCTCCTCGCCTGACCTCGCCAACCGCCTCACACCTCAAAACCAACCACACAAAAGGGATCGGCCCGCGGAACTGCTCCAATCGGGGAAAAATCCCTTCCCCAGCGACAGCGCAGCCATTCCCTCCAATGCTCCGCCCGCACCCCTCGCAAACTGCTACGGCGGAAGGGGGAGGGCTGCACAAAGCCAGGAGAAAGCTGAAAATGAGTCAATGCACTTAGGGGACGCGGAGGCGGCGGCAAGGGGCTCGGGAAAGCCGGGGGGCCGCAGGACTGGAGCTCCCGAGGGCGGCGGGTGGGGGATGGGAAGGGTGGTCCCGTCCAGACCCCGGTCCTGGGCGGGCAGAGGGTGGGGGTGGCGGCGCCGCGCGGAGCATCCGGGAAGAGCCCCCTTCGCGGTCCAGCCCCGCAGCCCCGCACCCCCGCCCCGCGGCGGGCCGCGCCCGAGTCCTCGCTGCAAACCCGAGGAGCAGGACGTGGAAAAGCAGCCGCGGCGGCGGCTGCGGCGCCTACACCGAGCAGCCGATCGCATCACTTACCCCTCACAGTGGCGAGAGGGACCGGACGGGGGAGGCGGGGCGCGTCGCGTCCCGTGAGTCTCTCGCACGCCGTCCTCCCCCCACCTCGTCGTCGTCGCCGCCGCTGTTGTCGTCGCTGCCGCTGCGGTCGAGCTCCGGGGCCCTCAGCTCCGCTGGGCAATAACGTTATTCCACACACGCCCCACACATAGCGGTAACGGCAAAGAGCGGCTGCCTAGTGCGCAGGCGCCTCGGGAAAGGGCGAGGAGCCGGACCCTATCCCCTCCTCCTGCCCAGTTCCAACGATTCCTTACTGCGCAGGCGCCAGACACAGACAATGAAAAGGGGTTGTGCGAGGGTCTCACCCACACGTTTTTCCAGCTTGCCCACTGCGCAGGCGTGCCCCGAAAGAACAGCTAGAACAATGAAGAGGACCTCGGAGTTAGGTGGGACCGCAACCAACAAGGACTACGGTTCCCAGCGGGCAGAGCGCCAACTCCAAGTGGAGGTCCGGTTACTGGGCATGCTAGGAGTTGTAGTGTCGGCGGCCTTTACAATCTAGGCTGTTTGGAGGATTTAGAGCTTCTATTTCTTGAGGATTTATTCGACCGTTTAAAAAAATATCGCAACCGAAGCAGGGTTCAGAGGTTCCTCTCTGCGTCCTTGAGTAACCTAGAGAGCAACTGCAGCATATTAGCAAATTTCGAAGCGTCAAGGCCTTCAGTGAACCCTTTCTGTCATTTGGGGTGGTCCAGGCGGCAGAAGAGTGGGATGGAGGCGGGACTAAACCAGGCTGGGCTGGAGGAAAAGGGCGGGGCCTGCAAGCCTGTCTCTTGGCAACAGGCTCTGGCAGCCCAACCGTTCGAGCTAGCGCCTGGTGCGCAGTGGTCTCTGGGAATTGTAGTGTAGCTGGAAGGCTCTCAGGATTGTGGAGCTTAGAGGCGCTGTACATGAGGACTACAACTCCCGAGGTCCAACGCGAGGGCCAGTGGGTGGGAAGAGCCCCCACGAGCTTCGTGCGGGATTCTAGGCTCCCCTGTGACAGCCGCGGCAGGAAGCAGGCGGGCGCTGCGCGGCCACAGGCCTGCTGTTTTCGGAAGGGAGAAAGCTGGACATTTCCCCACGTAACTCCCAGCTCTGGGCCTAGAGTGTGTGCATGGCGAAGTCCCCGGAGAACTCTACCCTGGAGGAGATTCTGGGGCAGTATCAACGGAGTCTCCGGGGTGAGTTGCTCCAAACCTCTGTCCCTAGCCCCGAGGTGCCCAGGGCCTAGTGGGCGGGAGTAGACCAGGTGCGTCTCCTAACACCTGGGTCTGCCCCATCCAGGCTACAGAGGAGCAAGATGGATGTTTGCTGTGGTCTTCTGAGGAGGATGAAGTAGTTTGATTTAGTTTTTACAGTTAAGCAACGATGTTTCCTCAGATTCCCTTAGTTACCTGAATCAACTCCTTGATCTTGGCATCCTTCTCAACCAGCGACAGCAGAGACTCTTGGATAGCTCTATGTCATTTTTGCCCAGTTCCCATACTTTGTTGTTTAATCCAATAAAAGTCTGATGCACAGTTTTTACACATTTAAATTATGGCATAGTGGATTGAATGTGATTTATAGGATCCGTGGGGGGAAACACTAATAATTATTTTAATCACAACAGCCCCCATTTAATTGGTCTAGGCTATTTGCATACAGTAAATCATCTGCAGCTTACAACAGTTGTATGAATATTTTACACATGGGGAAATCGAAGCTCAGAGAGGTTGAATTACAGGCCAGAGCCCACACAGCTGGTTAGTTGCAGAGCCAGGTATTATCAGGCTTGTCTGTCTTCAAAGCCTATCTAATCAAGCCATAGTTACTATTATCAAAACCTTATTAATTCAGATTGTCTTACCACATTACCCTATGAGCAAGTATCTGTACAAGTAATGTCTGTATTTATTTTCTTTTAAGCTCTGTTGGACTTAATGTCTGTACTTTTAGATGGCGCTGTCACCTTGGACAATATATATGACATCTAGAAATTTCAATTCTGTTACAATGGAAGTTATGGAATTGTCCATAGGGTTATTGTGGGGAGCAAATGAAATAATCCCATAAAGCAGCGATTTTAAGACTCCTTAAAATGTTTACCTATAGTAAGAAATAAATTTTATATGGGACATATGTGTATATATAAACTATAAGTTTCAGTGAAGAATTTTTATTCTACTAAATGTAATAAACTCTGCTTTCTATTCTGTTGCATTTTCATAACCCTCTAAGTCATGACTGTTTAGGACATTTGGAATACTAAGTTATGAAGCATATGTTGTTCTGCATAATATGCCTACTATGTGTCAGTGCCTCCTACTATGTGTTAAGCATACCAGGTGCTAGACAGGCAGTAAGGAACAAGACAAAGTTCCTATCCCCATGGAGCTTCTAGATTACTTGGGGAGAAAGACAACAGAAAATTGTAGATTACTATGATAGAAAATAAGGGTAAACATCACTGCTTACTAGACAAGCACTCATTAAATGTTAGTTGTTATTTATACTTGTTACTTAGAGCAAAGTGAAGGTTTTTCAATATTAGAAAGTTTATCTTTCCATGACTCTAGATTTTATAAGGGTTACTATGCATTGTTACATCGGTCAATTGTGTTACAAACTGTCAACATTCTCAGTATTCAAACTGCAGGAGTAAAAAAATTGGTTTTAATGAACACCTTCCTCAAGCTACTGATGTTTCAAGAGCTGTTAGATACAAAATAAACACTTGTAACTTTTCATTTGGAAGCAAGAAAAATACTGTGCACAATGATATGAGTAATTTTAATTTTTAAGATTAGCAAACATTTTTTGTTTTCATTGACAGTTTTTCCTGATGCTTCTCTTCCTTTGACCTTATTTTAAGCCTTTATATAATTGTTGGAGGCTATTTAACATTAGGCATTTTAACGCAGTAAAGGGGTTCCTTTTAAATTAATGTTATAGTAATATGTTTAATACTAGTGGTACTGCTTTCAATAATTACAGAATGAAGAGTTTTCATTCAAGGATAATACATTTTAAAATTAGTTTGAAATAAAATTTAAATTTAGTGTGATAACAATATAAGGTAGTGGAAACGTTTCACCAGGAGCGAATACAAGGGATAGAAAAAGTTAAACAACTTCTAAAAAATACATAGTCATAATTTTAACAGTGAATCGAGAAATGTAACCTGAAATGTTTATGGGCTTTTCAGGACATATCATTTATTTAGTAGCACTTTTATTTTTGTATGTTAGCTTGTATAACAGCTTCTGGAAGGAAACAAAGCAGAATTAACCCTGAACTTGAGTACAGTCAGAAGTTCTTCACAAATATAAATTGCCATTTTTGAGTAGTATAATGTCATTTATTTATTTATTTATTTATTTAGAGATGGAGTCTCGCTCTGTCATCCAGACTGGAGTGCAGTGGTGCCATCTTGGCTCACTGCAGCCTCTGCCTCCTGGGTTCAAGCAACTCTCCTGCCTCAGCCTCCCAAGTAGCTGGGATTACGGGCATGCGCCACCACGCCTGGCTAATTTTTGTATTTTTAGTAGAGACTGGGTTTCACCATGTTGGTCAGGCTGCTCTGGAACTCCTGACCTCAAGTGATCCGCCCACTATAGCCTCCCAAAGTCTGGGATTACAGGCGTGAGCCACCGCGCCCGGCCGATATTCCCTTTAAAGTAAAATATTCTGTTTCTTAATAAACAATGCTGGAGTTATGTGGAAATTCCTTATTTTGAGTGTGCCTAATAATTTAAGAATTGTATTACTATGTAGTAAGATAAAATGCAGTTTAAAGTTCTATGCCTTAATTTGTTTTGGTTTTGTTGGTTTGTTTGGTTTTGTCTACCCACCATTACTTCCCCAAAATGCCTTGCATAGTTTATGATTAATGGAAACCTAATAAACAGTCTGGTCTTTCCTCACCGGTTATTCCTCTGGCTTGTAAGTAACTGCATATGTAGTCACTACTAATATCCCTTCATTTGATATTTAGCTAGGAAGTAGCTGCATAAAAATGCAAAATGCTTTTCCTATTTTCCGTGATTGTACTTCCATTTTAAAAAAAATCTTTTCCTTATTTCTTTAATATTGGTACTATTATGGCATATCAATAATTTGAAGTTCTAATGTGAAAATTGAGTCAGCGTTTACTTTCTTGTTTTTAAAATGAGGTCGGGTGCGGTGGCTCACGCCTGTAATCCCAGCACTTTGGGAGGCTGAGGCGGGTGGATCACCTGATGTCTGGAGTTCGAGACGAGCCTGAGCAATATGGAGAAACCCTGTCTCTATTAAAAATGCAAAATTAGCCGGGTGTGGTGGCGGGCGCCTGTAATCCCAGCTACTCCGGATGCTGAGGCAGTAGAATTGCCTGAACCTGGGAGGCGGAGGTTGCGGTGGGCGGAGGTTGCGCCACTGCACCCCAGCCTGGGCAACAAGAGTGAAACTCTATCTCAAAAAAAAAAAAAAGAAAAAAAAAAGATCTTTTCCGCATTTTTTAAATTTTGGTACTATTATGGTATATCAAGAATTTGAAGTTGTAATGTGAAAACTGAGTCAGCATTTACTTTCTTGCTTTTAAAATGAGATCCTTGCCTCATTTTGACCCTGATGATCTTGGAGCAGCTCCACGTTCACCTTTCATCCATTCCCTTAACACTTTTCAGTGATTTGCTCTTTGAGTTCTCTAAAGATATCTCTTGCTTTGGGTCACCGATGCCCCTTTACAAGAAATTAGAGACGTTTAATGATTCTTCTTCAAAACGAGAGTTCTGGCAGAAAAACCGGAAGGTTTTGTTGCCCCCACGTATCTGTTGTATTATTTCCTACATAGTAAATGGTCTGAAAGTTTCCAGTGTGGTTAAAAGTGGATATATACTGGGTATCCTGGGAACCACAGAATTTAATCTAGAACAGGGAGTGATTTGGGAGGTCTCTTGGCAGTATGGTTAGGTGTTCATTTATTCTATGGGTAGTTATAATTCAACACCCACAGAATGGCCGAGAACTACATTTGTAAGTGGGCAAGATAGCACATGCCCTTTCTCTAAATTCAATACATCATTGTATAAAGCCAAGAGGTATGAAATAAACTATTTCAGAGCCAAGAAAGGGTGAAAAAAGCCCCAATCACAGGCAATCCAGGCTCTATTTTAAGTACTGCACACTTGAGTGAAAGGAGAAAAATTGCTAGAAATGCAGTATCCTAGCCTTAATAGCGGGATCATGTCTCATCTCTTGCTACAGCATTGGGAATAGGTAACAGTTTTATCACCATCACCTATATACATGACTCACCTATTCGCCTAATTCCTAGCCACCTTTGGTTGGGTGAGTATAAGGAAAAATGAAACAGACTTCTTGTATGACAGGAACTCATAATTTTTTTAATACATTTTGCGTTTTGGTTTTACCCTTTCAACATTTTGGTGTTTCAGCCTTTAGATAAACTTATGGCAAGAGTGTGGTGGAGTCAGAGGAGAGGATGTGGAACTAGGAGCCAGGTCACTGAACTAACTTTTGCTTTGCTGACAACCATCTGTGTAACCTTAGGCAAGTGAAAGCAACTGTTCTTGGATTCCCATTTCCTCATCTGTAAAATGAAAAGTTTGGACTGGATGTGAGAATTATTGCCTTTAGGTGCCAAGCAAATGATCAAAAGGTATGATGGAGTCAGTGCAAGACATTAGAGAAATGACGAGGCTTATGGCCAAATTGGGCAATTTCTGCTTTTTCTCAAAACATTTCAGTTTCTTTCTTGCTCCCTCCCTCTTTGCTCCCTTTTTTTTTTTCTTCTCTCTTTTTCCCTCTTTTCTTCCAAGAAGGAAGCCAAGCGAAACACACCCAGAGCCTGACTCCCCTTTAGACACCACTCTCTGACGCTTTGATCATTCATGTTCCTCCCTTCAGCACTTGGTTGGATCAGATGAATGATAAGGGCTGTGTTTTTGTCTTATGGAAATGAGAGTAAGGAGTTGAACCAGGTACACAGAAAGTGAGCGGATGAATATGGAAGAGAATATACAATCTCGGGGATGGGCTTTATCTTTATGAATTGATGTAGTTCAAGAAAACCAAAGATAAGGTTGACTTTCTGTGTTTTACTTGTATATAATTAGCACATCTATCCAAATCCTGCAAAGTGGCTCACAATTGTAGAAGGGCTGTGTTAGTCTTACTGGCCAACAATTTGGTCAGTGTA